GTTAACACAAAAATGTGCAAAGAGGGGCAGCTGTAGACACCCGTTTTTGTCCGGGTCTATAAAAACATTTTATTATATTATATATTTATTTATTTATTATCATTATTAATAATATATTTTTATTTTATTATTTTTATAGGCCCCGCACTTAACAACCTCAATTTAGTGAGATTCAGAAAATAAACCAACGTATTTGAGTCCTATTGAAACACTAAAACCAACGTATTTGAGTCATATTAAAACACTAAAGTCGAAGCATTTTGAGTCCAAGTAGGACTCTAAATCTGAACTAAAAATAGGTTTATTTAAACTATAAATAAACTCAAGCATCAAGAGGAAAGAACGCAGAGAAAAACGTGGAACCAAAATCAGAGGAAGGGGTAACGATTTGGAAAAACTGAGGGAAGAAAAGGACAAAAAATAAGCGTGGAGGATCCAAAGCCATTATCTAAAAGCACGTGGAGTGGCAGAGCATTTTCATTGCAAATCCAATTTCTCTACACGCAAAACATGGGAGATGTAACAACTTTTGACTTATTATTTTTATTTCATTTTTTATTTATTTACTTTATATATATTTTTCATTTTCTCCTAATTTTAATATTTTTTTATTTCTTTTTACATTGTTATATATTTATTTATTTTTTCATTTTTATTAATATTATTATATTAATATTTTTTATTATTCTTTTCTCATGTTTATTTTCATTTTTACAATCTAACACTTTTAACTTTTTAGGTATACTTTCAATCGATCAAAGATGATTAATTCAAATTGAATTTTTAAATTTCAATTTAAATTTTGATTTTCGCGATTAAGACAACCGATGAATTAATTAGTACCGAAAGGGCGGTTCAAGGGTGCTAATCCTTCCTTGACCGTAACCGACTCCTGAACCCGACACATTTATGGTACAACGCGGATCAGGTAAGATGGTGTCCGACCTACCTAAATTTGTTTTAAATGATCGGTGGCGACTCTAATTCATTTAATCCAAATCGAAGCCTAATTCAAGATCCAACCGAAACGGTTCCGACAAAATAGAACAAAATATAAACATAGATAATCATGTAACCCTAAAAATAATTGATGCTTGAACCGAATTATTTGCTGCATTAATTAACGAAAATTTCGAGAAAGCAGATGATAAATGCGGCAGAAAATTAGTTGGAGAATATTAAATAATCATACTTTTGCGAATTTGACAAAGTTTGTCCCCTCGCCCTCCTGTATTCAAGCAAAACAATCCCAATCATTCACTTCTGGATTTAATTATTTACTTTCTAAACTCATTTTAAACAGTGTTAGCAAGTGGCGGCCGTCAATGGAACCGAAGGGGCATGGCCCCAAAAATATAAACCTCGCAAATTTGAAATTCGATTATCTAAATTGATTTATCATATTCAAGATTTGATATGAATTCGAATATAATAATTTTAAATTTGATCTAAAATTCGAAACAAACAAATTACATCGAAACTGACCCGAATTTTAGTTGGATTGAAATTGATTTGAACCGAAAAATAATTTAAACTGAAAGTAATCCAAACTGAAAATAACTCGAACCGAAAGTAAGTCAAACCGAAAGTAATCAAAATCAAAAGCAATCAGACCAAAAATTAACTTGAACTGAAAGTAAATCGAGTTGAAAACAACTCGAACTGAAAGTAACCCAAATTTAATTTACCGAATTCGATCTGAATTAAACACCAACCCTATTTTAGTTTAATAATTGAGTCAAATGAACGAATAATTCGTTTTTACTATTGTTATTATCTCTTTTTCAGAAATATGATAAATAATAAAAATAGGACTAATAATTTAATAAGTACCATGCAATACATCAATATAAATATTATATATGAATAAAAAATAAATATTTTTGTTCATACCTTGAAACTAATATTGCTAGGAGAGATATGCATGAATCCTAAACATGGACCGAAAGATATCCAAATATATAGTTGTGTGTCAAATTCATGTTTTTTTTTCATGCTGTGTTTGTGTCGTGTACTTTTAATCTAGTGTTTATTTTGTCTTTGTTTGATTAACATGATTACTATTCATGAGGCAACACTATGCCTGATGAAGGCAAATCATAAAGATATTTAAAATAATAATATTTTATTATAATTTATGAATTTTTCTCACAAGTTAAAGTTTTCCACTTTACATAGTCTATCGTAAAAATATTACTTAACAAGTCAAGGTTTACCTCAATTTGATCTTAATAATTAAATTTATTTAAGGTCTTCCCTGTCATGCAAATTGTTCAAAGCAGAGAAACCATAGAATAACTTAACAGGAAAATGAAATAAACATCAAACATTTTCATGAAGATAAAAATAGAACCGCTAATCATAAATAAAGTATAGCATATACTTCATTAAAAAAAAAGTATAGCATAATGAATGCACAACCACATAAAAAAGGGTAAACTTCATGTTTGGTACCATAACTATCACTTTATTCTGTTTTACTCATTTAACTATTTTTTTCAAAATCATATTTAATGTTATATTTTCGTTTTATTTTGGACATTCACCGTTAAAAAATTAATAGAACTATTGATTTGACATTTTTAATAATTATATAACATTACCTTATGGCGACATACTACAATCACTGTTAGATTTTTTTAATGACGGGTGACTAAAATTAAATCAAAATTAAACGTTAAATATAATTTAAAATTAATTAAATGATCAAAGAGAAATAAAAATGATAATTGAAATACTAGATATATAGTTAACAAGAAAAAATCAAACCAAATATTTAATTTTATTTCTCATAGACAAGGTGTAGGGAGTGTCCCATCCCACCAACATTGAATTATTAAAATTTCGTTCATAAGTTCTCTTTGTATCATTCAGTTGGTACAAGAGGAAGCAAGACGCTCCCTATTACACCTCAACGATGATAGGATAAATTTTTTAGGTAATCGATCATCAATTTCGTTTAAATTTTGTATATATATTTTTTTAAAATAAAATAAAGAGAACTATTTGATCAACTAATCAAATGTGTTTACTCGATGATGATAGAATAAAATTAAAATCAAATATAAACACTTCAATAACATATATTAAGGAATGAGCAATAAAGATGATCTAATAAACAATATTTTGAAAACTAAAATTTTAATAAAAGAAATATTAAATATTAAATAATATACAACATATTTAGTTGTTTGTAATTAAAATCTCATAAAAGAAACATTGAATACTGAATTATTCATTTTGTAAATATACATGTTTGGATAAAATTTTATGCAGTTTTCTTTTTGATGATTTGCCGTGCTTCTTATTTTGTCAATGGCAATGCAAAACTTTTTTCACACGCAATAGTTCCGATGCTTGTCCCTTTCTGTGTAAGATTTGTTTTATGTCTTGCATAACTCATATATGATTGATTTATGTTTTGCACTTTTGGTTGCTCTATACTCATTTCTTGGTTTTATTTGTAACTGTAGTGAATATATATTATGGGAAGAAGTTTTATTTGATGGCTTCACCAACTATTAATTCTGCATGGTTATCTTCACCTAATGAGCCCTGCAAATCTTCAAATGTATGCGCACAAAAATGTTAAGTAATGTTCAAGCTTAATTGGTTTCTTTTAATTGGTAGAATATCACTTCTAATTTATTTACCATATACATGTGAAAATGTTAAAGCTATAGGAATGTAACATTTTAATTTAATATTTATTTTTTTATTAAAATTTTAAGTACAAACAACTAAATATGTTGTATATTATTTACATTATAATATTATTTATTATTTTCGATACCGTTTCTCATCCGGGTGAGGGAAAAAAACTAGTACGACTTGGGGTATTCTTTGAAAAGATTTGTGAAATGTTGGAAGTCACCACCAACCATTTTTAAGGTGAGATTGGAACACCTAAAATCATGTAATTTTTTGAGTTCAAGGTTTTATTTAATTCAAAATCCATTATGTATGCAAGGGTTTTAAAAATGATGTCAATTTATTTCCGGAATTATCAGTGGTCACCCCTTGAGCATAATGCGGAGGATACACTATTAACTCATTGGTAAATGAACACATTCTTGTTTTGAAGACATGATGCAATCAAACAATCAATTATTTAAGCCTAATTATACTAGGTAATTAATTAAGGCTTCCCCTAATACAAAATGTCAAATTATGAAAATTAAAGAACTTGGGGGGACAAAACCTAAAATGGAGTCTCTAATATTAACCCTAATTGATTTTAACCAATTATTTAGTTGAATAATCGAAATGGTCATCCGGACATATTAAATGCGGAAGCCAAGCCAACTCAGATTATTCCCTAATTTCAAGTCTAAGTATAATTCTACCAAAAATGGAGGTTCTACTTAAAAATTCTAATTAATTATGATCAATTAATAATTAAAATTTATGATCGGTCGACTGTGTGTCATTCTGATCGGTCGATTGTGTGACATACTGGTCTAGGGTGTTACAATCACATTTAATAAAAACACCAACATAAAAGTCTAACATGTATTCAAAAGTTATTTACATAAATACACGTTAATAATCACACACTATATAAATGTATTTACTATATATATAGATATTTAAAATATTGAAATAACTATATTATGTGCATCAAGCCTATATACCCCTAAAAGACCCGACCTTTTGGTTTATACTACTCTGACGAACCCCCGACTACGCGAAGCTCTGCCCTCTCAGGTAAACTCTTCTACCCTTCTTAATACTTTGGTTCGAATGTAAAACAAAAAAAAAATGCTATAGGAAATGGAGTCAACCTTGAAATGTTTTCTATTTTTTTCCTATTGCTTTTTGAAAATATCTGGCAAGAAGCCCCGTACCTATTTTTTGAGTGGTCTTTATATATAACCACTATTATGATACATATTATAATTTTTACAAAAGAAAAAATAAAAATCAAAAATCAAAACCTAATTTCCATTAACTCTTTTAACGTCCCCATTCCTCTGTGCATGGTTGATGAAATTGTACGAATGACAGAGGGAGGGGCATGGCTCCCTTGCTCGATAAGTGAGGCATTAAATGCCTCTGGTTTGATGAAATTTGGTTTGGTGGTCCGGCTTGACGATGGGCGTGGCTGGAGGGTGAGAAGCTGTTAGACTCGGCGGCGGCACAAGCTTTAGGTGATGGCGTCGGTGGCTACAACACTGTTCAGGGTTAATGATGAAACCCCAATGCTGCAGCTGATCTGGACCTTTAGATTAGATATAATCCAACGGCTATGGCTCTTGGCGACTGAGCAAAAGAATAGAAAACCCTAGCCCAAGTTGGCCTTTTCCTGTGGGCTTTGGGTGCTGGGCATTTCAAATTTGTATTTAGGTTGGGTTTTAATGTAAATAATATTTTATTTATAATAATAATATTAAAAGAGTCGGGTAAAATATGGTGATTACAATTTTTATACATTAAATTCATGTGTTGAGTAAAAAAATGTGTTATAAATAAATTCTTATATATTGTAAATTTAAAAAATAAATATAATCGAATTGGGTGACCAAAACAAATAAAAAACTTAAGTTTAATGATGATTTTGAAAACAAAAATGGTTGGCTAATTAAAATATAACCTCACGAAATGTTGTATGACTAAATATGTAATTTACCCACATGTTTTTTAACGGAGTTAACAGATCGGGGCAAATGAGGTAACGATTTAAACTTTAAGGGGCAAAATGGGGCAAAACGTCTCGAAAAATACTTTAAGGGATAATTTAATAAAAATGATATAGTTTAGGGGACAAAGGTGTATTTAAGGCTATAATTTATTATCTTATATATATATATATATATTAATGGCGGTTCTAGAAATTAAAAATTAAGTCTAAAATTTTAATACTATTTAGAAAATAAAATAAGCATGAAATTTTCTTTTTTTTTCTTTTTTTCTTCTTCTTAATACATTGAATTAAATCTAATAATTTATCTAAAATAATAGGGATACACTTAACTTGTAGGAGACTTAATACATCCGCTTCTAATATACTTCAAGATTTATTATTAAAATAATTTATTTCATATCGATTAAATCTTAAATTATTTATGTTCACATTTATTGCCCATTCATTTAAGTTGAACACGCCCTAGCAAACATGAATTAATTATAATAATGGTGAAAGTGTGAAAATGAAATAATATTAAACGGTAGCTAATCAAATTGCTTTTGTTTGATGTTTGGGGGCTGATTTTTTTTTTTAACAATTTGTTGATGAATGAAATGAAACAGCTTTTTGAGAAGAAAGGACAGAGATTGTAACGAGTCAGGTTCGATTAGATTTTTTTTGTCCATCTAAATATGATTTGAAAAATTTAAATTCTTCACTTGTATTCGATTTAATCCTGATTTAGGAGTGATCTCACTCGACTCAAATTCAATATGATATTTTAGGTTAAAATTTTATTCATATTTGATCCAACTTGACCTATTATATATATGGTTAGGATCTACTTACACAATGTAAAACTTTTTAGTTTTACATAGATTTAAGACCGTTTGATGAGTGAAACAGATAGCTGAGATGGACTCTTTGGTTTTTTTCCAGTAAATATCTTCACATTTCCTACTTTTAATCTCAGTCATTTGTTTTCACTCATCCAACGATCCTAAATTTGTGTAAAACTAAAAGAGTTTTATATTGTGTAAGTAGATTATGTTCCATATATATGTGTATATATATATATATATTAAAAATCATTTTTATTAGATAAAATAAAGATTTAATTAAAAAGTTCAAATGAAAAAGAGTATTATTGCAATTATTTCTAAAAATATAAAGGATAATTATAATATTAGGTTAGATTGAGTTTGATTTTTCTCATCGTAAACCCGAATCTGGCCCAATCCTATAACACCCTTAAAAGATAAACTTGAACAGGACCTAAATTTTCAAAATAAATAATAATTAGTTTGAGTAAAATGACCATCCCTAATAAAAGGTGAAGATGTGGAAAAAGGTTCGTTGGCAAAGGATTTGATACTTAACTTTACTTGTGCTTTGACATATAGCCTTATTCCTTTGAAACTTGAAGTCCCATATTATGGTATTTATAAACGCATAGGATAAAATTTTCAAGGAAAGTTGTTTCAGCTATGGGGGAAACATCGATTAGTTTGATAGATTTGGTCTTCTCTTGGTCCATTCAGGATGCCCTTAATCCCGATCTTTACAAATCTCAGGTTTTGCAATTGCTTCTGTACTTTTGTTTAGTCTCATATCATCTTATCCTAATGTTTTACTTTCTCGTATATATATATATATATAAGTCCCGGAATTACAAAAGGATTCCCGACTATAGGGCTTTTATTAAGTCCCTCGACTATTAAAAGTTATAAAATGATTACTCGACTATTCATATGTTCTAAACTTATCTTTTTCTATTAAAATTTGACTGTTGTTTGAGTTAGACGTTGACATGCTGATTGAAATATGATAATCTTTTGAGATTCTGAGATAATTTTTTATCATATCTTAGTCAACATGTTAATATCCACCACTAGAGGTGTTCAAACGGGTAATTCTATTTACCGACCAAACCGACAACAATAACAACAACAACAAAACCTTATTCCCATATGTAATGGGGTAAGGGGGAGGTAGGGTAGTAGGCTGCCCCCAACGCCAAGTAGAGAGCAGCTTCCGTGGAAGACCCCCGACAGTCAAAAAAGTAAAAATAAAGATAAAATGCAATGCATATATAAATAAATAAATAAATACATAGTTGAACAGTCTTCATATGCTTTCTTTATATACGCGTCTGTAATGGAAGTAATCCATGCAAATAAATCCCTGCATAAAAAATCTCTGCATATAGATAGAAACGTAAGACCCGACTAAATTTAAAAAGAGGAAACATGAAGAGAAGGATATACAGAAGTCAACGATAGCAAGTTACGAGAAGGAATAAAGTCAAAATGGGTTAAAACCTAAACTAAGGCAATACTACTCCGCTACCCTAGTCCTAAGCCTTCATAAATTCCAATGATAGAAACGTATATGAAATTAATACAAAGGCATTAAAAGAAGATAGAGATGATACACCCTATGGATGTGACCCGCACTACTCGACTACCCTGGTCTTAAGTCTCCATATTTTCCTATCAGAGATCATGTCCTCGGTAAGGGCTAAATCATTCAAATCAGATCTCAAGCAGTCTTCCCACTTCCGCCTTGGTCGTCCTCTCCTTCTGGCACCGTCGACTGTAATCGACTCTATCCTCCTGACCGCATCCGACGGTTGTCGCCTAAAGACATGCCCAAACCACCGTAGTCTTCCCTCCCTCAATTTTTCGGATACAGGCACCACCCCAAGGACATCCTAATAGCAGAGTTTGGTGTCATGTCCCACAGAGTCATACTACATGTCCATTGAAGCATTCTCATTTCTGCGGTCTCCATCCTCCTTACGTGATCCTTCTTGATTGCCCAATATTCTGATCCATACAGCAGTGTTGTCCTTATTTCCATTCTATAAAATTTTCTCTTAAGTTTTAGAGGCACATTCTTGTCACAAAAAACTCCAGTAGCATCCCTCCACTTTAGCCATCCCGCCTTTATACGGTGTGTAACGTCATCATCCACACCCCCATCTTAATGTATCATAGACCCTAGGTACTTGAAACAATCCTTTGAGGGGAGAACATGTCATTCTATGCATACTTCTACATCTTCATCATTTTGGTTCCCACTGAAGTTTGAACATAAATACTCTGTCTTTTCAATATTGAGCCTTAGACCTTTTTCTTCCAAAACAGTCTTCCAGGTAGCCAGTCGACTATTCAGCTCAGTTTTTGTTTCAGGAACTAGGACAATGTCGTCAGCGAAAAGCATACACCATGGAACACCGTCTGGTGTCACACAATAGATGTCGTCCATAATCAAGGCAAAAATGTAAGGGCTAAGAGCCGACCCCTGGTGGAGTCCGATTTCCACCGACAATGCCTCGGTGTCGGGAACTGTAGTCCTGAAGTATGTAGTAGATCTACAATACATATCACGAATTGCCCGGATATAATCAGTTGGGATCCGTCTCATTTCCAAGGTCTTATAGATCGTATCGCGGGGAACGTTATCATACGCCTTCTCAAGGTCAATGAACGCCATATGAACATCTTTATTTTTTCCCTATATTTCTCCATAAGTCGTCGAAGTAGATGAATCGCCTATGTAGTAGACATGCTTGGCATAAACCCAAATTGGTTTTCCGAAACCCTAGTAACTTGTCTCAACCTAGCCTCTATCACCCTTTCCCATAGCTTCATGGTATAATTGAGTAGTTTAATACCTATGTAGTTGCCACAACGTTGGGGATCTCCTTTATTCTTATAGATTGATATCACCGTAGACTCTCTCCACTCCTCTGGCATCTTGGCAGTCTCTAAAATAATATTAAAGATGTTGGTCAACTACTTAACTCCCTCTTCTCCTAGGGCCAACCACACAGTGATAGGAATTTGATCTGGACCGATAGCTTTGTCCCTTCCCATCTTTCTAAGAGCCATTTTGACTTCCTCAAACTCAATCCTACTTGTAGGGCAGTCATTGGCCGTAGTATGATGGTCGGCTGACCCATCAACGGTACTATCTCTACATGGAGAAGCACCATCATTAAATAAGCCAAAGAAGTAATTACCCCAAACCCTCTTAATATCATGATTTTTCACTAAAAGAACACCATTATTGTCCTTAATAAACCTAATGCTACTTAGATCCTTTTTCCTATTCTCCTTGGATTTTGCTACCCTGAAGATATTGTTTTGTCCTTCCTTGGTGTCTAATCTCTTGTACATTTCTTCGTATGCCATATCCTTTGCCCAAATATCATTAATCTGTTTTTTTCTTTAACTGTTAACCGAATCGATTTTTTTTCAAAAAACACTAAACTAACCGAATTAAGTTCGGTTAATTGATCGGTTAACCGAATTAACCGAAATTTTAAATAATATATATTAAATATTTAATATTTAAATTTTTGATTAATTCAGTTAATCCGGTACGTTAATTCAGTTAAAACCAAGTTTAAGCACCCCTAAAGCTAAATAATATATATATATATATAATATTAAATATTTAATAATTTCAGTTAATTCGATTAATTAACTGATTTCAAACCTAATTAACCGAAACTGAAGTTAAAAAAAAAACCATTAATTGTTAACCGATCGAACCCAAAATTAACTGGTTTGGTTGGTTAATTCGGTTTTAGTCGAACAAAGAACACCCCTATCCACCACCTCAGAACGCGGTAAATCTTTTAACAAAAAAGGATAATTTTAGAATATATAAATAGTCGGGTGACCATTTTGTAACTTTTGATAGTCAGGAGACTCAACAAAGTAATATCTATAGTTGGAAGATCATTTTGTAATTTTTAATAGTCGGATGACTCAACAAAACATTACCTTGTAGTCGAGGTACCATTTCTGTACTTTGCCCTATATATAATGGTATTGATTATAATTAAGTATTCTGCGTTCTTAATTGAACTGAACAGGTGAGGAATATCCCTGGGACATTCACATCTACTGCAGAATACTTTGGCTCCTTTATGGCTCCTCTTGTTGAGGAAACGCATGCAGACTTGCTCTCAGCCATGATGAGGCTGTCTCGGGCGCCTTCGTATCAGCTCTCTTCCATTGAAAGGGACATAAGCTACCTACCCCCGACCGGTTTTCCTTATAAGATTGTTTTGCGGAACTCTAACCGGAGCGATTTAGTAACATACCAACCGCAGGTGGGAGATCTTGCGGCACTCACCGACGTAAGACCGACACGCATCAGCGATTTGAACCGGCCTACAATGCCTTTCCTACTTGCATACGTACAATCAGTGGACGGCGATAAAATCTCCCTTTGGTTAAAGAAGCCGTTCGTGATTGAAGAAAAGAGGCATAGCCATAAGCATGATGGTCTCTTTTTTGTGTTTTTAACTAATGTGACCACCAGTGTTCGAATATGGAAAGCTTTGAACCCGGATCCTCCAGGAAGGAACCTGCAGATGATCGACAAAGTTATTCGTATGAATGCAGATGTAAGCAACTGTACCGTTTCGAGCCGTATTTATGCTTACAAGTCTTTTCACTTGGCTAATCTTGCTTATATTTATGTTTCCTTGCAGGACGAAGAAGATTGCGCCGCGTGCTTGTTCGAAAACAACTCGGTTACCGTTCCTTCGTTCGAATTTCACGGTTTAAATGATTCCCAAGAAGCTGCAATTGCAAGTTGCATTAAGACATGGAGATGCAGACATCAAAATAGTGTCAAACTCATATGGGGTCCTCCAGGAACAGGGAAGACTAAAACGATTGGCCTGTTGTTGCTGGCTCTTCTAGGAATGAAATGCCAGACAATTACCTGTGCCCCGACCCTCACCGCTGTGACGGAATTGGCGTCTCGGCTCGTGAGATTGGTTGCAGGGGCATTCGAATACAAAACCTACGGATTGGGAGATATAGTTTTATTCGGGAGTAGCGAGAGGATGAGAATGGACGATCATACGAACCTGCTCCATGTGTTTCTGGATTATCGTGTTGACATGCTGAATAAGTGCTTTTCACCGAGCTCCGGGTGGAATACTAGTTTACTCTCCATGATAAATTTGCTCGAAGATCCTCAACAGCAGCACAGTCGATACATTGTGTATCGAAAACTGGGAATTAACATAGATGATGATCATGAAATGGAAGATGAGATCAGTTCTAGGGACAATGAAACATGTAAGGGCGATGCTCTCACTTTACAGGTATTTGTAAGGAAGAGGTTTTCAATCTACAAGGAGAGGCTCAAGTTTTGCGTTGTAAACTTCTACACTCACTTACCAACTCATCATGTATCATTAGAAGTGGTGAAGAACATGATGGATGCTCTGGATTTGCTCGGATCGATCGAGACTTTGTTGAATTCTTATGATTATGGAGATGAAGGATTGAGGGAAACCCTTTACACCGAAAAAGAAAGGGAATTCGTCGGTCGCTTCGCAGAGTTGAAAGCTGCAATAAAAAGTTGTATCCCGGTGCTCAAATCACTTGGTCACTCGTTTCAAATTCCAGAATTTACACAAAGGTTCATGATCAAGAAAATGTGCTTGGAAAATGCATGCATACTTCTGTGCACTGTATCAGGCTCTTACAGATTGAATACGGAACGGACACGACCGTTTGATCTTTTGGTTATCGACGAAGCCGCTCAACTGAAAGAATGTGAATCAACCATTCCCTTTCAACTTACCGGTCTCCACAATGCGGTTCTTGTAGGAGACGAGCGGCAGCTGCCTGCAATGATAAGAAGCAAGGTTCTGTATTCTATATCCTTGTCGCTCTTGCTTTCATTGCCTTTTAAGTCACAATTTGTAGCATGAACAGATATCAGGGGATGCTGGATTTGGAAGGAGCATGTTCGAAAGGCTCGTGTTACTCGGACAAAAGAAACATCTACTCAATGTCCAGTACAGGATGCATCCATCTATAAGCTCGTTTCCAAATAAGGAATTCTATGATGGGATGGTTTTGGATGCCGCAATAGTGAAACATAGAAGCCATGAGAAGCGTTTTCTGCATGGGAACATGTATGGTGCTTACTCATTCATCAATGTTCCCTATGGAAAGGAGCAGTTTGGTGAACTGCATAGTCAAAGGAATATGGTGGAAGTTGCAGTGATTTGCAACATAGTTGCTAGCCTCTTCAAAGGTATCTCTTCCAACTTCTTCCACAAATCGTATTTTCACTGTCACTTTCCTTCCTATTGAAGTCTCCAAAGTTTTTAAAAGCTTCGGATGTTTCATATCTTCCAACCATTTATAAGCATTTGACATAACTACTGACAGACCATGTAATTTGTCCGAGTCAAATTTACTGTCTAACAGTCATATCTATTTGTCATCTCGGCCTATATATATATATATATATTTACCATCACCTAAGTCCGACATCAACGCTAAAACATGTATATAAACCATCCTGCAGAGCTGTAGGAGAAATTCTTTCTCTTGTGTTCTTCTTCTACAAATCATTTACTCCCTACCTTCATGACAGAACTACCATACAAGGGTCTTCAAATCAGAAGGATGAGCTGCCAAAGACCACCATAACCTTATTTTTTCATCAACATTTTGATATGTTTAAATTATGGTTTTTGATCCCTCTACTATTCTCGAATTGGGGATTTCTTCCCTATACTTCAAGGTCAAATTATGGGGTTTGTATAATATACCGTGGTTTCTTTTGCTTAACAGGGTTCAATGCAACAAAACAGAGAATGAGCATCGGTATTATATCACCCTACACAGCTCAAGTACATGCAATTCAAGAGAGGCTTGAAAGGAACTACAGTAGATACTCAGGCAGGGGCTTCACCGTCAGCGTCCGTTCAGTGGATGGATTCCAAGGAGGTGAAGAGGATGTCATAATCATCTCTACCGTCAGATCCAACGTCAATGGATCAATTGGTTTTCTATCCAATATACAAAGGGCAAATGTTGCATTGACACGTGCAAGGTAATATTATAGTATTATGATTTTGGTCCTTCTGCTATTCTCAACTTTTGGCGCTGCTTGTTGCAGGCATTGCCTGTGGATATTGGGGAATGAAGCAACATTGGTTAAAAGCAATTCCGTGTGGACGAAACTAGTTGCCGATGCCAAGAGAAGGGGTTGTTTCTTTAATGCCGATGAAGATAAGCATCTGGCTGAAGCAGTTGTTACAGCCTTGATTGATCTCGAACAGTTTGACACTCTACTGACCACGGATTCTCCATTGTTCAAGCATGCAAGATGGAGGGTTCGCTTTGGCGACGATTTCAACAAGTCCGTGAGGTACATAAAAAACAAAGAGATACATAAGCAGACGATTAAGGTGTTGGAAAAGATTGCAAGTGGATGGCGTGATGAGAGGATGAAGAAGTATCAAGGTTGTTTTGGGTTGATGGAGTTGTATCCATTGAATAGTGAGTTGAATCTGGTTTGGAGTGTGGAAGTGGAGACGGTGAAGGGGAATTCAGAGTGGATCCAAGTTTTGAAGGCTTGGGATATCGTGGATTCGTCGGACATAGCCAAGGCTGCTCACAAGCTCCACATACTTTTTGCAGAATACACGGAGGATAAGATCAGTAGGTGCAAATATCAGTGTCTGGAAGGGTAAATCTTTCTTTACAAACATCCGTAACGCACAAGTTATTGCTCTTGACAAATATTATTATAAAATGTACAGGAATTTGGTTGTTCCAATGAAATGGGCAGTGCATGTGCAAAAATCAGATGAAATGGAGTGCTTATCAAGAGATGGGCATACAATTGGTGACATTATCAGTTCCAATTCACCAGATGAAATGGAGTGTTTATCAAGAGATGGGCATGCAAATAGCAACATCATCAGTTCCAATTCACCAGATGAAAAGGAGCGCTCATCAAGAGATGATGCACATGGCAACATCATCAGTTCCAACTCACCAGATGTAATGGAGAGCTTATCAAGAGATGGGCATGCAAATGGCAACATCATCAGTTCCAATTCACTTGGTTTTTATTTTGTTATAATTATGACTGCTATAGCCATTGCTATGTTTGTGACCAAATATCCATTTTGGCCTATCCTCCTCCTCATTACTTGTTTTATTTTCTTAAACCAACGATAAGAACTTGTCATTTAAATAAGGTTGTAAAGGCAGCATATGAGATTTGCAAGAAAACTACTTTGTTACTAAGCTTTCTAATTGTTCCAAAATCTGAACTTACATATCATCATCAACCAAATGCCCATACGGACATAAATATTAGCACAAAATCCCCCGCTCAACATTAATTACAAAATTAAATTAAAATCTAAAATATATTATATGCCTAACCTAGCCTCTTGCTCCTCAATGCCACCCCAAAAACTAACGTCCCCGAGCAAACCTCATTGCAAAGTAGCTGGAGGATCTGGCTTTCGCTCAAACACTACTAATAGCTTCAACCAAGAATAACAAGAAGTTTGACGAAACCAGATTAGCCCTACCCGATGTCAGTATAGTCCGGTAGGATCGAACAATCATCAAGGCCTGAAATAAAGCCATGGGTGTAATTGTGTGGAATCACATCGAAGCCCTCTAATTCAGATGCGAAAGCCTCATCCATGCTTGAAGAGAAATTAATATCTACTCCATCAACCCAGCCGTCATCATTATTCACCAATGCCGGATCACATCTTAAGTTGGGATCACTAGGTGCAATTCTACCTGCTTGTTGAAATACTTGCTCAAAAAGTAAGTTGGATACATCACCATGCTCCATTGAAGCCTTCTTTAGTTTTGATTTAGGTCTGGTTATATCAGATACAGACAGCTTGTGCTTCCCCAAAGACTGCAATTTTTGTCCTGACCGAGACTTGGGATCATTAGCTGGGAAGGCAGCTGAAGCCCAATGCAGACCACCTTCGACACCAGCCATACCAGCTGCCCTGAGAAAAATGTCACTCTATTTGGTTAGTAATCAACAGAATTGGTTAGCAATCAACAGAACAGAAACCGGGTACTTAAAAATGTAAAGCAATATATGATTCAATGCCTGACCAATCTATCAACCAATGTAACCACATGGCCAACAGAACAATGACAAAAATTATCACTATCCCGTTTTGATATTTATAAAAAGGCATAAGAGTTAGAGCTATAATCTGAACTAGCATGCAAGAGATTCACAAAGACAATCTTTCAGACTAACGACAATAACTCCTAGCCAACAATTCATTATCAATTCTTGTAACTCAATTAAGCAGCAATACCTGAAACGATTCTCAGCCAAAACATTTGAAGCTTTGAGATGAGGGTCTTCTCCAGCAGACTTGTTTGTAGATGTAACTGTATTAGGGCCATATATTGATAAATTCATTACTGGTGGAAATGAAATCATAGAACCATCGATCTCCCTCACGATTTCCAGTGTTATCTCTAAACTTTCTTCAATTGCCTGCGAATTCTCTCTATCGGAGAGGGAAACTGCTTCATTCCACTGTCTATCACTGGCATCATGGAATGCAGCTGATAACAACTTGCTACACTCCTGCAAATTTGAAAATGTCATCCTTGGCGTCATATCCTGTGAAGAACGCTGAGGTGTGTTGCCAATAAAAGGACTGAGAAACATTCCCCCTAAACGAACACCATTTCGAGATGATGAAACATTTTGCCGATGTTCAGGGCAACGTGTCACCCGCCACACAGATGAAAGTAAGGCAGTAAAGTGCTTTTGAAGAAGTAACTCATGATCTGGCTGTGCAGCAGCAAAGTTTAACAGCATTCGCATGTTATCCTGCCATGATATAATATTTGATGGATAAGGTTTCTAGCTTCATTGACTATAACGAAAAAATTAATTTGTTGAACATAACTAAATCTATGAACGCATTAAGTCGACCGCACAATATGTATATACTTCATCAGCCCTGAAACACGGGTAAATATGGGGACAAAGGGGAGGAGGAACCTAGGGGAATGGGGTCCAGGGGAAGTGTGGTAACAGAATATGTTTTACAAAAATAACCTGGTGGTGGGAACCACAATAAATATTCGCTAAGACCTTCCTTTTCCCAAAAATGAAAAAATAATAATCATATGATATGTGAATCATTGTAGTTTTGGCGGATGACGCCCCACCTACTTAATAGATAACAATAGATTAAAATGACTTGGTTGCTACTAAGTGGAGAGGCAACCTTATATCAGGTGATCTTTAAAAATTTACACGTCAGAACAATGTTCACCTCAAATATTTCCTTATTTCTTGCTTTTATCCTCCTCACCAACTTAAAAAACGAATAGCATACCTCTGTTACTTTCAGAAGAGCTTTTCCGGAGCCTGCATAGCTGATCTTTTCATTACGCGAACTGTCTGGTGCGGCCAAAACATGTCTTTGAATTAGTTCCCTGAACCCCTCACAAGTCACAACAATGAACTGGATGACGATATCTACCCCTGTAAAAGCCACCAGCAGTCATGCTGTAGAGAGCGTCACTAACCAAACTCCAATTTGAGCCATATTCATGCACTACCGCACATAAAACAGCATCCTCCTGTGCCAACCAAGAATCAGGTGATGGAACACAATCTTTAGACCAGATATTGCCCTTCTTTAATTTCTCTGGTTTTATCATTAGGACTCGTTTCATGGGCATGGATGTAATGGAAAATTTGCCTCCCGTTTCATGCAAATTGCCTGATGATAAGCCACCAGCAGTCATGCTGTAGAGATCGTTTCATGCACTTATCTGATGATAAGCCAAAGCAACTTGCTGACGATATGCTTCTGTAGTAAAATCAGCATCCCATTCTGAAAATGGTTGATAGCAAAGCATTAATTCAGGATAGCACAACTAAGGTCATAAATTTATTTGCTTTTCACTATTTCAAATATTTTTATGTATAAAGTGGAACTGTATGAGCAATCCCTTGTTTTGTATGATTAATAACCTTAAGGGGGGTTTGGATTTGGGAATGTGAGATTCCCCAGGAAGGAATCCACATTCCCCCGTTTGGTTTGGCCAGGAATGTCATTCCCTGTAATGTTTTATTACCAATAGTGAATTTTTTTTGGATATATTACCCCAAATGTCATTACCTCCATTCCCTTAGGTATTGTAACATTACTGGCGTTTTGGACTAAAATGCCCTTAATTTTTTTTTTTCAAAAATATCATTCTTCTGTCATTGAATAATAAAAATTCTACGAAGGTTAAATTATAAATTTATCCTTAAATTATTTTAGATTTACAAAAAAAATCTATAATTAAAATTTTATATGAAGTTCAGGGGTTAAAATAAAATTTTACCATTTCATTCAACCTTTTTTATATTTTTAATTTTGTAAAAAAATTATATAAATATCATGAATTTAATTTTTTAAAGAAAATATATAAATATTTTACAACTTGTAATATTATACAAATATATAATAAGGACAATTTAGTCAAATATACATTCCAATAATCTTTTATTTCTTTAACCAAACACGGTAATCTTACATTCCTGCTAAACCAAACAAACACAAAATACAACATTCCCAGTAATCCTATTCCCTGATAATCTTTTATTCCCACTGGTAATCTTTTATTCCCACTGATAATCTTACATTCCGTGAACCAAACGCACCATAAAGGTATGCAAATCATTTGAGCCATATAATTTGCTTCTTTCTGAGGGAGAATCAAATAAAAGGAAACAATGTAACTGACCTAATTTTGCCACAGATTTTTTTATAAAAAAAAACTTTAAAAGCTTATTGCTTCTCATAATAACATACCAAGCAAAAAAAAAAAAAAATTACACAGAAAACGAAAAGACACTCTCATACACTAGAGGTTCCTCATCATCATCAATCTCAGCTTCCATTTCCTCTTGTACTTCTCAATTTGATCAAGTTCCCATTCTTCTTCTTCAAACTTCAATTCAGGTTCCATTGCTCCCTTCTCTATAATGGGTTCCCATAATTCCAGAAAACAGACTGCATATCGATCGATTGGTCTTAATTGGTTCTCAAGCGATGAGATTGTTTGTCCTCCTGCTGCAGCAACAGCTGCCATCTTCTAAACATCAGCCAACATATCAACATCATCTTCTTTGCTAGCAAGAATAAGTGTTTTGTCTTCAATAGGATCACCGGCATTTGAAATCAGCCCATTATCTTTATTTGAAGTAACCATAAATGCAGCTTGATCAGTTGACTCATCAGCATTCATGTCATCCTCATTTGCAAACTCATCATCTTCCAGTTTACTCATTGCTTCCTCTGTAAACTCCTGGTTGTCAACAGCCTCTTCCTGCTCCACTTTCTTCAATGCCATGTAATCTGCTTCATCTTCTGCATATTTCAAAGCAGCTTCAACATCAGCGTTAGATACAGAGTCCTTGGTGCCATTGCTGTGATTTTTCTCTTTCTGACTCCTAACTGTCAGAGTCCTATGACCCGAAAACAATTCCATGGGATCAAGCTTCTTGAAAAATTCAGTATTATACCCTCCTCTCTGTATAACTAGATCATCAAGGGCACGCTTCTGATTTGCTTTCTTCAAAATGCTTTCTTCAATGGTGCTCTCACTGATTAGACGATGTATGTGGACTTCACATGTCTGTCCTATTCAATGGAAACGATCTTGAGCTTGCTGATCCATGGCAGGATTCCAATCACTATCATAAAATATGACTGTATCCGCCCCAACAAGGTTAATACCTACTCCTCCACTACGGGTTGATAAGATGAAAAGAAAAATTTTAGGATTAGTGTTGAATCGTTGCATTAATGTTTGTCTCTCCTCAGGTTGAGTGGACCCATCCAGACGCATGTAAGTATATCCATATATATATTTATGAAGCCTCCAATATGTCAAGCATCTTGGTCATCTGGGTAAATATTACTGCCGATGACCTTCAGACATCAGTCTTCGTAGCAAAACCTCAAGCTCCTGCAACTTACCACAGTCAAATTGTATCAATCGCTTGTCAGGTAAATATACCTGCCTGGACTATTGCAGGTCTAATAGGTGTTAAGAGGGAAAACAAATTTTCAGCACATTGTTCTATATAAGTTGGATGCAGAAACACAGAAGTTCCCGTTTTGCTGCACCAGCAAACAGGAGTTGGGGCCCGTGCTGCTGGGATTGCA